TTATGTTATTTTTAAGCATGTTTTTCCTCATTAAATCATTTGTAAATGATTTATATATTATGAGAGATGTTAATATAAGTTAAAAATAATTTTTAAAAATTATTTTCAGATTTTTTTTGATAAAAATTCGAAATTAAAAGAAAAATAAAAATAAATTGTGAAAATTATTTTTATTTTGTAGAATCTTCATCATTTGAAGCATCTTAATTTTTATATTAATGATGACTCATTGTTATGATATTTTATGTAATTGATGAGCTGAAAAATTAAATAATATTAGTCAACTAAATTAAAAATTAAGAGTGGGACATTAGTTAGCATATTTGTTAAAGAAATTAGTATTTTAAATGATATTTAATTGAATTTTGGAGATGCTTGTCCCCTAAAATTTTCCTATAAATAGGAGCATTCATCAAAGTTAGAATTACACCTCAAAAATTCAGAATTTATGTTATAAGAGAGAAATAGTGAGAATCGAGTATTTAAGATAGAAACCGAGCAATTTCGAGAAGTGCTTAGAGCAAGTTTCTTTTCTTATAAATAGAAGAGGTATGTATTCAAACTTTGATATCATCAATTATATCTAAGAGTTATATGTGTTTATATGTGATTTTGATATGTTATCATGTTTATAAATTATAAATTTTATATATATAAGTATATAAAATAAGATTATAAAGTAAGATTATTTAAAGTTCATGTTGCAGCTGCTTATGTTTGTTGTTTTTGACCAAGCTATTAAATTCCAAAAATTATGAAAATTTTTATATGAGATCATCATTATGCTGAGAATAATACTGGAAAGTTTTAGATTGTTTGAAGTTAAAATGAATTTTATAAAAATCATTGATTAAGGTGCTGTCCAGTGAAAAATCTGTGTAGTAATGATGACTTGTGAGATGAAATTACCCTATCTATTGATATTATTATGAGTTGGGAATTTTATGGTCAATTCATATACTAGTTAAGAACTTCCAGTTTAAATTTTATAATTATTGGAGTTGTTTAGCATGCTATAGAAAATAATGAATATAAGTGAGTAAATCTCGAATTTCAACAAGAGAAGCATTATTTGGAAATTCATATCTCACTTTATGGTTATTATTTTTATGAGAAAATTTACAGGATATTTCTTGAGTTAGTTGAGACTTATGATTTAAAGTTTTAGAATTTTTAGTTAATTGTAGGATGAGAAATAGATATTTTTTTAAAGACAAGTATGCTAGCAAATTGAATATTTTGTTATATTCTCAACTTTGAAATAATATATCTCAAGATATGAATATTATTTTAAAGTAAAATTTTTATGGTAACTTTATATATATGTGGAGAGTACATATGTTAAAGTTAAGTTTAAAATGAGATGATCATGAATAATTCTCATATAAGTGATGAGTAATTTGATGAAGTTTTGGTATAATATGTTGAGTATACAATTTTATAAAGATTGTATAAAGTATGACATATTAATATCAAGATTAAAAGTTATGATTAAAAGATGATTACGGCTTGAGATTATTTTCACTTTCAAGTTAATTAAGTGAAAATTTAGTATAAGCCAATATCTAAAAAAAATTGGGAAATATGATGTATGATGAATTAAGTATTTGATTGAGAAAAAGATCAAGAAAGTTAAGTTTGAGCAATAACATGAATAATGAATTTCTATAAGATTTGGATAAGTTAATAATTTTAAAAAAATCTTATTGAGTATACGAGCATAGTACTTAGTATATTTGTTTATATTTGATGTAACTTACAGATACAGTACCAGTACAGCACTTATCGTTTTTCAAATGATTTCAAAGACAAAAAGGTGGGGACCCAGACTGGGTATTACATTGACTATAATATGATATCATGTCCGAGGTATGTAAAAGTTTAAGTTTATACGCTTGGGATGAGGAGGCATTAAGTTGTCTCAGAGTATATCCTAAGTTCTAATGGAGGCCGCTTGAGTTGCCTTGAGAAATATCCATTAGATTGTGCACAAGTATCCGATCAGATATCGGCCAGCTGAAGTTAATATACTGGAACAGTTTTAAGTCCAGTTATATATCGGAGATCATGATATTGTATTATTATTGCTGTTTACTTTAGTATGGGTGTTATACGGGGTACAAGAGGATCAGTACTCACCCCCATTGTGTTTTTCAGGTAACAGGGTAGGGACGGAGGTGTGAGCTGAACAGTGGTGGTGGTGGTCGTGCACTTATTTCAAGTGGACATTCATTAAGTATTTGATATGTCTGTATAATAAACCACGTTTTTAAGTATTTCCGCTACGCATATTAAGACTTGAACTTGCATTTTAATAAATTTCAGATTTCAAGTTTTACCATTTAGAGAAGTAAGAATATGGTATTTTAAATGCAAGTTTAAAGGAAATCTGTTTTTATTTATGTCTAAAGAAGTATTAGACAAAAGTTTAAAGATAAATAGATTTTCAAGAAGATAAGTTTGAGTAGCATCCCGAGTTAGTCGCAAAAGATTTCGAAAGATTTATAAGTATTTTGAAGTAAAAGTTGCGAAAAATTTACTCTGATGAGCGGGGTGTTACAGTTATCATCGGATAATCCTAGACCAGCGACGAGGAGTTAGGAAACTTACCTATGAGGAGATGAAACGTCAACGTGATAAGGGACTCTGCTTTAACTATGACGAGAAGTTTACATCAGGTCATCGATGCAAGCAGACGCTCATGATCGAATTGGTCGAGCCTGATGACGAGGAGCCTGAAGAAGACGAACCCGTGCCTGAACCTGAGGTTCACGAGGCAGACTTGAAAATTTTGGTACATGCCATGGCCAACACCAAAGGACCAAGAACAATAAGATTGTCAACGTGGGTCCGAGACGGCGTATCGTTGAGCTGGTAGACAACGGGTCGCCGCACAAGTTTATAAATGCCTCTTTGTCGCGGAAGCTGAGATTACCCACGACCAAGGTTGAGCCATTCGACGTTTGGGTAGCCAACGGCGAGCGATTGAGGTGCTTGGAATATTTCTGAGGAGTATCAATTAAGCTGTAACGAGTAACCGTGAGTGCCGACCTATACGCCATACCTTTAGTCGAGCCGAACGTGGTCCTAGGGGTGCAATGGTTGGAGGGCCTTGGGCGAGTTACTACAGACTGTGGAGAGGGTACCATAGAGTTCACGAAAGAGAATTGCTTGGTCATGTTGGAAACATATCATGTCGAAAGAATCAAAGAGGTTGGGCTTAAAAATATAGAACGACTATGGAAGGGAGGTAATCAAATTATTGCGGTAATAGTCGAGATGGATCGGGAGGAGTTAGGAGAGTCCAGTCGAGGTTCGGGAGCTCCTAAACTAATTTAGCTGAGTGTTCGCTGAGCTAAGGGGCCTCCAAGATGAACGTATAATCACCACATACTCCTTATCGACGAGAGTCGGATGGTGCACATACATATGTATCAATATGCTCACACCTAGAAGGCCGAGATCGAGAAGAAAGTCAGCGAGATGCTTGAGTATGGATTCATTCGGCACAACACGTGTCCGATCTCCTCGCCGGTGTTGCTCGCAAAGGAGAAGGATAGGTCCTGGCGGTTCTATATCGATTACCGAGCTTTGAACACAACAACCATCAAGGATTGGTTTGTTATACCAAGCATAGACAACATGCTCGATGAGTTAGGTGGGCCACGGTACTTCTCGAACCTAGATCTACGGGCCGACTACCACTAGATTTGGATGGCCGAAGAGGACATCCCAAAGACAGCCTTCAAGACACACCGCAGTCCCTACGAGTTCTTGATGCTCTTCGGGCTATGCAACGTCCCATCCAATTTTCAGTTTGTCATGAACTCACTCTTCCACGAGTTGTTGTGCAAGTTGATCCTCGTATTCATTGATAACATTTTAGTCTACTCGAAGACTTGGTCGTAGCATATAGAGCACTTACCGGTCGTCCTAAGCATCTTGTCGAGTAACTCCTTTCATATCAAGCCATCCAAGTGTTCCTTCGGGCAAGAGTCAGTAGAGTACTTGGGTCACTTTACTTCTTATGAAGGAGTGAAGGTTGACCCGCGGAAGATAGAGGCTATGATGGATTGCCCAAAGCCGACTAGCCTGACGCAGTTATGCGGGTTCTTCAGATTGATCTGGTATTACCGGATGTTCGTCAAGGATTATGAGTCCATTGCCAAACCGCTGACTGTGATGACCAAAAAATATGGTTTTAAGTGGACCAAGGCCAGTGAGACTGAATTCCAAGGGCTCAAGCGTGCTATGATGATAACGCCCGTACTTCCGATGCCTAGGTTCGACGTCATGTTCGAGGTGCATACGAGTGTGCCGGTCGTCATCTTTTTATCTAGGCTCGTCCGCGTCCACAGGGTCCAACAAAAAATTACATACTACAAATTACATAAATTAATTCTATGGACCACACAAGGGTCGTACATGAATGATTTAGTAAAGCATTTAAACTATGAGGTGTCTCACCGCGCGAATAAATTATTACAATAATTCCACAACCCAGAAATCCCCGACATGTCTAAGGCTTATGAAACATGCAAACGAGCCACAATAGTCGGATTCAAGAATACCTACAAACAAGCTTATTTGCAAATCTAATCTACCATTCATTGCGCCCAGACACAATTAATTCACATGTGTGACACAAATTCTAATTCGAATAGTGCACAGAGACAAATTAGCCTAGGCTCTTATACGAGTTTTTGAGTTCTATAAAGAACGTCGTCCATGTGCACGTCCAAATCTATTATAAATAAATTTTAACGCATCAGAATCTATAGTTAGGATAAGGATTTATGGTTCAAATTTTTTTCCGACTCTGATATGTTTGTAATTTCTGTTGATGGATATCGTCTGAGCCTTGTCGAATCACCCAGAACCCAAGTCACTTCTCACGTCACCTTGGCCTTCGCACCATCGTCGCTGGCCTATTTACATCGTCTGGGGTCGTCGACATCATGTCGGACCACCACTAGTCAGCTGGTGGTCGTCTGATCTCGATGGTGGTCACCGAGCCTCACTTGTGCGCACTGTTGGTGTCCTGGCTGCACTGTCAGTTCGCGTTGTTTGCGTGCGCCATGGCGTTGCGAGTCGCGCTATCTGCGTGCGCGGGGTTTCTGCGCTGTCAGCGTGCGCGGGACACTACGCGGTCACGCTAGGGTGTGGAGTACATGTGGGCGCTCAAACGCTGTGTGAGTCGCGTGTTGTCTGCCTCCGCGGTGTGCTGTGCATGTTATTCTATCTGCCTGTGCAGGCTGTGTATGGGTAGCGCGCGGCGGTGCGTGCTCACCAGCTATGGCACGTGGGGCTAATGGCAGTGGTTTTGGGAATGCCGGTGGATGGATCTTCCTCCAGTGGTCGTTGTCTCCAAGTTTTGTGGTCGTCCGAGGTGCCGCGGGGACATATATTCGCCGGGATGCGAAAACAAGACCTCGGGATCTTATGTTATATGACCGATCACCTGATCCGATTCGTCATGGTGGAGGACTCATCAGATTTCCCAAAGCCTCATAAATTTGTCTCAGTTTTTTCTTCTTTCAAGGTTGGCCGATCGACCGCTTTAGGAAAAGAGTACTATACGACTAAAAAACTTAACTTGGAGACTAGGAGACTTGGTGTATTTATAGTCTACAACACGGACCCTGAGGAGGTGGTAAGTATGGGCTTAATTGTGGGCCAAGTCGACTCCGCTCATACTCGAATAATAAATACCACTATAAAAATATTATTGAATTCCCTATTCAGCTTCGAATTACAAATAATTTATCTCCCAGCTCATTGCTTGATTTACCTTTCCATGTTTAAGGTTTAACGTCGATTATTTAATTACTGACAATATAATTAATCAACTTCTTGTTCTAAAATTAGTACCACTCAATTCTTTATCATCATGTCAAAAATTAATGCGCCAGCGTGGCCTGACATAATAATTCTTCTTAAGCTCATTTCGAGGACGTCATCACCCTGGCGGACCGGGACACGGTGACTGTAAATAAATTTTATGGCACATCATACACCCGAAATTTTTTACTAAAGTACCGAGTCTGTCGACTTAACAAAATAGATCTCACTCTTGGTAAATGTGTATATGCCCAATTTATTGTCTTACAAGTTAAGAGAACACAATTATTACCGAGGTCAAGAATATTTACTTAGTCAGTATGAAATAATCTTATCCTCCGTAGGTCCGTCAAATACATCTGAGATATACTAGTGTATTTCATTAGTCAAAGACTAACCAATTCAAAATCATACTACATCTTTTCATGACGGTTAGTTCAATTTCATCTAGGTTGTGAACAAATATTTATATTTTACAAAGAACTGACAATATAATTATTTTTGTTCGACATCGAACTATATTATCTATAATGTAAAATAAAGGAACTATGTTTACTTAAATAAATAAACTACAAACATATACTTGACTAAAAGCATATATCTTTATTCAAATTGGAATCGAGACTAATCACAAAATCGAGCTTCTACAGTATACTCCAACATTTTCAGCAGCTATGCCTCCACCCTTTTCTAGACTCTGGGTTCACTACCTTTTCAACTTGCCTCTCTATTTGGGAGGTCAATTCTAGAAGATTTTATAGACTCTTTCTCACTTGATTGGTAGCTAAGATACTAGAGTGAAAGCTTTTAGTCTCTGAGGAACTGCTAGGACTAACTCCCAGTCATTCTTCAAACTGTCTTAGGTTAAGCATATTTCTATCACTGTCCTCTTTTGTAAACAATTCCTATCAGAATATCCAATTTTTTCACAATAAAAGCACAAGTTTTGGAGATTTTCGTACCTGAAATCCACTTATCGGTTTTTCGAATCTAACTAGTGTTGATGTTTCAAGTAGAAATTCACACTTCAACCAACTCAAGCACAATAGATAAGCTAAAAAATAACGAGAATACGTAAAATAACTAAACAAGCAAACATAATCCAATAAACGAGCATGTCCTAATCACTTCTACTAATTAGATAGCAAAATAGGTGCACAAATCGAAATCATAAGCCTTAAAGTAAGTACTCACATTCCTAATGCATGCTTGGTCGAGATCAGAAAAAAAAGATACGAAATTGCATAAAAATAAAACTTGCCGGAAAAGGTTGCCGGAAAAAGTTGCTGGAAAATCCTAAGCTAGAGAGAATCTAGAGAGAAATCTAAAAACAAAAGACATTACCAAAAAGAGTGAAGTAGCAAATGAAATCTAGTGTGTTCAATTACAAAGGGCCAAAATCTATTTATAGTCTAGCTCAAAACACACAGCAGAAACACGCACATTAAATGAGACACACTCTCGAGCTCGCCAGCATTTCCGCAGGTTGCGGGTACGTACGAGACGGCACGGGGACGACACGAGGTGGCATGGAGAAAATGGACACTCCCGAGCTCGCGGAAGGATCCGCGCATGCGGACAGTAGCGGAGAAATACTCTCGATGTTGCAAACAAACTCGCGCGGCACGGACAGGCAGTGGGACTATACTATCGATCTCGCGGACAAGCTCGAGGGGCGCACACATAGGAAAAGGTGCTCTCGAGTCGCGGACTCTCCAGCGAGGTCGCGAATGCGGTTGAAGGCGCGGCCGAGGTCGCGGAACAGCTCGCGAGTTCGCGAGTGTGGCCTGATTTTGAGAACTTGATCCAGACGGCTCGAAAAACTCAGAATGGAAATAGCTCGTGGTCCGAAACTTCTCGAAATTGAATCGAAATACTTGGGAAATCTCGTCTCTCGAGACTCAGTTCGACTCTTCTCGTCATCCTCGAAATAAACTTGAAAATACACCAAAAAGCACGGAAAGGTACGCCAAGATATAAAACAAAAAGAAAGACACAAAAACACATGGAAAACGATAAAATAGACCGGTCAACACTAAAACTATCCTAAAACCGACTCAACTACGTACATAAATCACATAAAAAGGAACACAAAAACACAATAAACAATCATTTGTGAGTTGTCCCACATCATTCATATATGGAAAATAGACCCACCTTATAAGACTAATAGACTACTCCTCCTTCCACCAATTGGTTTTGGGATGGATACCCATTTGGGCTTCATCTGGGCTTTTTCCCCACTTTGGTGCGCTTCATGATAGTGGACCCGCACCCGTTTTCCCCCAGTTTCTGTCATGGTATCAGAGCCGATCCTATTGGTGACCGTGCGATGACGTACCCGTCACCCAGCCAGTTGGACTTGGGCTTTCGAAGGACTCACAAGCAGTGTTCTAAAAGTCGCTAGGCGCCCGCTAGGCGCCCGACCAGCGTCTAGCGCCTAGAGGGCCTAGAAATTAATATTAAATATCTTATTTTTTGTTTATTTATTTTCACTTTCTAAAATATATTCTAATAAAAATTGAAAACATGATAGAAATTAGTAATCCTCATTAGCAACTCACATGACAACAAGTTAGTAATGTTGCACTAACCACAATCTAAAAACAAACTCCAAGTCTAAAACAAACTCAAATCAAACTTCAAGTCCAAATAAATAGTAAATACATAAACACTACTAAGTAGTAAGTACATAACCACAATCTCAAAAGAAACTCCACGTTTAAAACATACTCCAAGTATCAAAGATTCAAAACAACCCACTTGACCAAATGTCCAAAACACAATTAAGAAACAAGAAGCAATAGCCAATATCTAAGAAATATCAAACATAGCCAAGCACAAGAGGATCTTCTTCTTCTTCTCCATAATTTTCTAATACACGCTCTTCATCCGACTCAAATTCAATGTCATTCTCATTAACTTGATCCTCCTCCTCGGATTCAAAATCTTTTTCCTCAAGCTCTCTCACTCTTGATGTGTCATGCTCAACTTCAAGTCCATTAACGTCTTCATCTTCATCGTCTACTAATTCCAGAATAATCCACTCTTGAGCTTTACTTGCCTCACTATCAAGTAACACATCATTTTCTTTCCTCCATTTGCGCTTGTTCAATAAACGGGAATTGAATTGCACATAGACTAGATTGTTCAAGCGCGATACATCAAGCCGATTTTTTTTTTTTGTATGTATCTAAGAAATAAATAAAATCCCATTTTATAATATAAGTATGAAATAAGAATAATAACAATGAAAAGACTTAACAAAACAATTAAAACATAGTATATCCAACTAACCCCTTCGAATGTACTCCAATTTCTTTCACATCCGGACGAGCTCGTGGTTAATGACAAGATTCTTATGGCAAATCTTTGCAAATTAGGCGTTCCACATCCATAATTTAACCACCAAGTAGCTATGCATGAAATATATATATATATATATATCAAACTTCTCGTCGTTCACTTCACAACCTTTTGCGGCAATTGGCTTTCCAAAGACTCCTCCCTTTGTCATATAAACGGGCAACTCAACGTTCATGATTTTATGCATCAAATCAAAGTTACCATGACAAATGACATCAAGACAACAAGAACTCCATCCGAAACAACTTGATCTAGTATGAGATTCGGGTCCTTATAATGATAATAAGGATTTAGTAGATATGCCATCAAGTGCAACGGGGTGTCCAATCTACCCTTCATCTTCGTGTCAATGATTTCTAAGATAGGATCATGGTTCTTGACAAGATTGTTCAAGACACTTTTTATATCCTCTTTGGCATGCATAAGCTCCCCATACAAAAATCCCATCGACAGCTTCTTATCGGCATCCGCTATACAAAGCACCTTCGCTAAAGGAGCCAAAATAGTCAAGAAAAAAGTCACACCATTCCAAAAACCAATAGACATCACGATATTGTAACTAGCTTTTCCCTTCATCGTCTTGGACCATTTGCACTCATCCCACTCGGAGCTAGTAAACATTGCCCTTAATTGTGCCTTTTTTTCAATCAAACTTTGCAAGCTAAGAAATGAAGAGGCGAATCGTGTGACTCCAGGTCTTACTATGTCCCTCCTTTTAGTGTAAGACCTCATCATGGATAAGGTCTTATGATGTGCATAAATGAATATTAGTCAATGCCTTTGCTTGTTCAATGGTTTTGATGAACCGGGGTAGTTTTGCAATGCCCTCCAAGATAAGATTGATGGTGTGTGCGGCACATGAAGTCCAAAAGATTGTTGGCCTCTTTTTGCGCAATAACTTCGCCGCTCCCATATTATTTGAAACATTGTCCGTCACAACTTGAAGAACATTCTCGGGCCCAACTTGCTCAATGCATTGATCCACATACTCAAAAATCATTTCACTTGTGTGAGATATATCGGAAGATTCCTTGGAAGATAGAAACATTGCTCCAATTTTAGAATTCACACAAATTCATGATGCTTCTTCTCTTTCTATCACTCCAAGCATCCGTCATAATCGAGCAACCACTCTTCTTCCATTCATCTTCATGAGGCTTCATCTTGAGTTTGGTTCTTTCAACCGCTTTCTTCAACAATGGCTCTCTCATCTCATATGAACTAGGAGGCTTCCACCTCGGCCCAAATTGACCGAGCGCTTCGGTAAAGAGCCGAAAGCTATCAAGCTCAAATACATTGAAAGATATGCCCCCTTCATTAGCCCAATCGACTAAATAATCTTTCACCAAGTTGGATCGTTCTTTCCAAATAGCATCATTAATGTTTTGTTCCCGCATCGTCTTTGCCACGTTCAATGATGCTTTCGGGTTGAGTGTTGTAGCAAATCTATCCATTGGGCCAAGAGAGTGAGATTCTTTTGCTTTTACGCATTGTTGAAAGGACTCAATATTCAACCCTTTAATGTTAACCGAAGATAGCAACTCTTCTTGAAGTTCGTTTGTCTTCATCTTCCTGGCTTTGGACTCATTGATGGAATTTCTACATTTAGCTTGATCTTCTTTTGTTGCTTTTCTACATGAAACAACATTACCGGAAATTTGGCCAATATGCTCTTTCAATCTACGTATACCACCCGACATAACTTTACTACATAACAAGCATTTCACCTTATATTTGTTATATGGATCGGCTAGATGTTCGCTAATTATTTTCGCTATTCGCAAGTGTACGGAGTAGCTATAGGTAGTGGCGAGCAAGGTCGTATTCCACAGAGATTGTAGTTAAATTAATTAAGTACTAAAATAACGACGATTAAATATTATCTAGACTAGTGAATTGAATGATGATTATAAACTAAGAATTAAACTAAAAACTAATTTATCTAAACAAATAAAAATAAAATAAGATACAAAAGGTAGATTCTAGGTTATGCTTTCCTCGGAATTAATTCATGAAACGTTTATATTCAAACAAACCTTATTTAATTTTACCAATCGTAGAGATAATCGCTAAATTGATTTCAAACCTTTCTCTCGAACAAGTTAAATCGTAGATATTAATTGTTATCTATCTCCTCTCGGTCTCAAGATGAACAACTAACTCCCATAAGTTCCTAAGATTTTCATTCTCTCGCAAGGTCCTATCAACCTCTCGGTCTGTTTATTCTCTTACGTTATAAATTTCCCAATTCTAGCAATCAATTATCTCCTCTCGGTCTCAAATTGATTACAAATATGCATTCATAGTGGCCATCTACTCACACAATAATAATAAGCACAAGAAATTTATTAAACGAAAGATAAACCGGAATGAAATAAATAAAAACTAAATCATAAATCAATCCGAGTACTAACAAATCCTAGAATCTAAGATAAATCTAGCCTAGAAACATGTTTTCAAAATAAGAAAAATAGATATAAAAGATTGAGTTCGAAAGAGGAAAAGAAAAAGAAAGAAAAAACTTATTCGGCTCCGTCGATCCTTTCTTCTCGGCTTTCTCCCTCGTCTTGCTCGTGTTTCTAGCCTCCAAAGGTCTCCCAAGATCTGAAAATATGTCCAAGACTCCCTAAAAACGTGTCCAAGGGTTGTATATATAGTTGAGGTCGAGTCCTAGTCCAAATAGGTCGAAAAATCCCAAAAAATAGGAAAAACGCGTAAAATCCGTACAAGTCGCGCCCAGGGTCACACGAGTCGTGTGAGATTGCCGTAAGCTCGTATCGGACCCGTTTCGAACAACACGAGTCGTGTCTCGGGCTCACACGACCCGTGTGTACCTAGGAGTTCAAAACAGCACCAGATCGTCATTCTCAGCTCGGTTCGTGGCTCCTGGTCGAATTTCCGGCATACGACGTGTTCAGAATACGTCCAGGTCGTCGGACATGGCGTCTCCGGTCGGATTCCGGCAGCTCCCGTCACCAGTTTTTCTCCGGCAATAACTTGATTTGCAGACGTCTACTCCGGCATAGTTCATGGAATCAGAGGTCTTCAAGATGTTCAGGACGGACGGCGGTCAGTTATTGGCGTCGTGGTGGTCCGGTGGAGAAGCTTGGTCGCGAAGCTCCTCAAAAATGGCGGATGGCATGGTTCACGTAGAAGATGAAAGGGAGGTGGACATTGCATCACCACAAAATTACACTTTTGCCATTACTCAAATTGATTTTTTGGGCCAGCCACTTCCTAGTGCTTTGGGCTTAATTAGAATGCCGAACTACAATATATGAGGGCTCATTTGTTCTCCTTGTGGGCTGTGTATCGGGCTCAATGTATGGCTCGCAATTCTTTTATATCCGTTTGACGCCGTTTTCGACTCCAAAAATTAACTCGACCTGTTTCCTGTCAAAACTCAAATAAAATACCTTTGTCATAGCTTAATAATATTAATTAATTAAATAATTAATTATATAATAATTAATTAAATAATAACTAATTATATACCAAACTACGACGAAACAGACACGGAAATCATTATAAAATGCACGTAAATATAACGCATGTCACTAGAACACCATAGTTCCAACCTATGTCATCCGACTTTCTTTTAAATACTTGAGAATCATTCTCGGCCTCGGTGGACGTCCGGGAATCACACGAAGTACTTTTTGATGCCGAACTACTAGCCATTGAAAAAACCTAACAAAAAAATAATGAATAATATTAATACATCAACAACATTGTTGCAAAAAAACACAATATACATGAATGTATATTATTTTTTTTTTTCAATTTTCGAATGTTACATACTTGAGCTTTTACTAAGTTATCTCTTTGGAATTTCATCGAACACATTGTCTACATCCTTAGGGTTTAACCATTACACACCACAATGGTATTATAGCTAACCAACCAACACCATATTTCATCAACTTCACATAAAAAGATTCCAATAAATTTAGAAATCTTAAAATTAACAAAACCTAATTACAATTTACAACCAAGTGAACCAAGTCAAATGTCCAAAAATTACATAGAAGAAGAAATTTTAAAGTACCTGAGGGAGGCTCGAGAGTCCACGTAGAGGGAACTAGATTGTCCGACGGTGAGTCAGGCGGCGGCGAGTCAGTTCGGAGGGCGCGTCGAGGAGGGCCGCGTTCTGTGAGTCAGTGACTTCTTTGTCCGAGGCTCCGAGCGAGAAGAACTTTTGAGTTCTGTCTTCTGTGATGGTGAGAACACTGAGAAGTCGTGTTTTACCGTTTTNGCCCGGCCGATTTGGCCAAATCGTCGGCGGCGTACTGGCGCCCAGCGCCTAGGCGGCCGCCTAGCCCGACTTTTCGAACACTGCTCACAAGTGAAGGGGCGTGTTAGAATATCACCCACATCCTTCATATATGGAAAATAGATCCACCTTATAAGATTAATGCGCTACTTCTCCTTCCACCAATTGGTTTTGGGATGAAACCCCATTTGGGCTTCATCTGGGCTTTTCCCCGCTTTGGTGCGCTTCATGATAGTGGGCCCGCATCCGTTTTCCTCCAGTTTTTGTCAATAGATATAGATTTGATATTAATTTCACATTTGAAGGAAACATTGAGGAATATTGAATTTGTTCCAGTAACATTCAAGATCACAAAGAATGATCATTTAAGTATGACGAATCAAATTAAGAGGACATGAATGAACATTGACGAGATATGAAAGTCGCGTCATCATGGCCCAAAAGACTCCATTTCATAGGACATGGCGTCCTCGTTCACTAATAATATTATGAGACAAGAAACAAAGTTTACAAAGGATATTTGATAGTTTTCCCTCCTACCCACCACTAACAACAAACACTACAATTTTTGAATTTTGAACACTACATTTCTATCCACAACACCCTCAAGAATCCCTAAATGATCATCAACTGACTGCTCCACAGCACCACCTTCATCATCAATATCAAAGGTAATATTCAAATCCAACGGCTCATCACAAGTGCGCTTGATCTCTTCTCCATCTCCACCCATATTACCTGTTTTCCGCTTACCACAAGGAGAACAAGCCCTTGACCTGAGTCTAAACACTTCACAGCTCAATATAACAATTGCATCACAAAACATAGCTTCTTCACCAATCCCCGTGCTGCTTTGTATTCTTCCTCTTTCGATTGCCCGTTTTATCCCCATTTGTGATATGTGATCCGCTTGCTCTAAATCTTCTAACAAGAACACACGGTGTGGATTTTCAAAAACTGCGTGGGAAAACTGGTCTATGTAACTTTGTTCGTCCCTCTCTCTTTTGTTATGATGATCCTTGGACAATGCATCGGATTTTGTGGATGAGGCGAAACTGCTTATTCCGATTGATACGAAGTTAGAGGATGAGCCAAACACTGTCTTAGCAAGGTGTCTTGAGACTTTCTCTTTTGCTAGTGCATCGGGGCCGAGAAAGAGTAGCCATGTTTCGTTCTTGACATCGTTGTTGCCTGTCACCTTTTTAGAAGACTTGAATAAATTAGTTTTGTGTACACCTAAAAGATATAAATAAAACTATCCACTTTTACTCTAAATATAATTGTAAAATATATCCAAAAGGTTGCTGGACAAATTTTCTATCTACTCCAAGTTACTGGCCTCATTGACAAATTTTGAACGCAAATTGGTTAGAACATATTCAATATAATGAGATAATGTTTCTTGGGTTGGCACAAGATTGATAAAATGTAATGTTGATAAATAGAATTCAATATCACTTAAATGGACAAGATATTAGAAAGAAACTAAATAAACTTGAACTGAAAATATAAATAATATTTTTATGTTACTTACAGTTCATTTTGAAATGATTATTTTTATGGTAAAAATCAATTATATTTGAGATTTAAAAAACAAAAAATATAGTTCATTTTACTTATGTGGCATGGACTTCTAAAAAATGTTCATTTATATGGAAATATCTCAATTTGCCACTAACCAGATTTGGTCTTTATTCAGTACTTTTGTATATTAGATGTTGACACAGAAATAAGACTATATGGTAGCTATATATTTGTAGTTACCATATAGTACACTAGAGTACATGTAAAAATGTAGCCTAGTACTCGTAAAATTAAATGATCGATCGGCAAGATGTTTCACAAAAGAAGTAGATATTCTCAAATTAAAGAACTAATATTACATCTTACACGAAAAGACCATGCATGATTCAAATTAATATATTAAAAACTGTTACCTCGTACTTTCTTCTTAACATTCCAGATCTGCATTGCAATATGGTTCCAGCTATTTCAGGGATTATTTCCTTTTGCCATGGAACCTTTTTCTCCAGTGCACTGCACAAAATATTCAGGTTTTGCGAGTTGAATTCTTTGAATTTTTGAGAATATGCTGCATCCATATGGTTGTCACTTGAGGAAGGAGAACTTGTAGTTGAACAAGAAAATGGCTTAGGGTTATGTGGGTCAAACGAGAAGCAAGAAGTCGATGAAGATGGTGACAATGTAAGGTTTTTTTGCGAACGTCTAGGTTGCTTGTGGACAGAAATGCAGTACGAGTTCCATTTCTTGGCCAACTCCGTGATGGACTCACAGTCCTGCCATCGAAATTCATGATATATATATTAGGCATCATAATTTCTTAAATTGGAATAATTTGAAAAAAAGAAAAAACTCAGTCGATAGAGAATTAAAAGTTGAAATATATCCATACTGCCATTTTGGGAATTAACAAATAATATAGTCCCATGAACAGTATTTCGTAATTCTTGAAATGGACTAATTGGAGGAGTCTTAACCAGACATTCAAAGTATGACCTACGCATGACATGTCAGTTTCTATTCAAATTTATATTTTCGTTCAAAATTATTTTGAAATTGGTAAATTAAAAATGTTGACTGAAAATTTAAAGAAGTACTCATGACATCTATATCTTGCCAAAATTTGGATTTTCGGCTAAATTTTCCTAGAATTGAGCAATTTGAAAATTATGGAGCTATTATTAATTAATTGTACTGTAATAAAAGAAAATTATCATGCAGCCATAATTATTTGGTTTTGAGTGTAGAATAGAATTTGGAATATTGAATATATATACGATCCTTGTTAACGGCCATGTACAAGTGATCTGGCAAAATATATACGACCTTCACCTGATGACTGTTATAGCAAGGTCTTGAACCTTCATCTTTGAGCCATGGAGGCAAACTCGACAATTTCAACTGATCATTAGTCCCACAAATGCTGCTTTTTTCCAATCCTTTTCCCGCCTTTTCTGCTTCAAACTTTGCCAAACAATCAAAACAACAAGTGAGCTTGATCACCTCTCCATCTATAATCACTTCCTCATGACCAATTCCATTTTCCGCTCCTCGTCTAGCTTCCGCACAACCCTCGTCACTAATTACCCAAGCATAAAACCAAAAATAATTATTCCAAACACCGAACAAACAGAAAAATAAAAATACAAAAACTCAAAAAATAAAAAAAATAAAAAAAAAATTGATTATTAATTAGATCACACACCTTGGAGAAACGACACTCAAGCCCAAACCATGTACACGATTAATCGTAACCATACTTAGCCCCCAAACATCCTCAAGCGAGCCGTACCCTTTTTGACACCTCCTATAACCCTCAAAATCCGCAACACGGCTACTAATCATATATTCCACGTTGGATTTCACTTGAGTGCTCGAAAAACCGGCTTCTCTCATGACTCGGCTCACACTCGGGTCATCCAATATGGAAACAACAAGCTGCCCGAGCCCAATTCTGACTGAACTCTGCTGTTCGGAAGATTCACGGCGCTGGTGGGCCGCGACCCGCTTGAAAGCGGCCACGAGGGCGTTGGAGACTGAAGGGTACAGGTGGCGGGCAAGGATTGGGCCAGCACATCCGGCTGGGAGGCGGTTGAGGGCCACGTTGAAGCAGAACTCGAGGGCTTTGAACTGGAGAGGATGGGAGTGGGAACGGGAGCACGCGGACCTCAGCAAGCCGTCGGGAGTTGCCAGCATGGCATTTGCCACGTGGAGTGGGGTCACCTGAGGGTGGCCACGTTGCCTTGCCAGGCTGGCTGCCTGGGTCACTGTGGCAGCTGCCTCGGGTGTTAGGGCTGCCTGCACTGGAGAAACTCCACCTCTCATTATTTTTTATTTTTTTTTTTACTTAATTTTTGGGATAAGCTTAGATTTGATTTGATCTTTGTACAGTAGCTAGAATAATAACAGATTGATCGAAGGTAGTGAAAAATATAAAAGGGGTGACTGGTGAGTAGTGTGCTTTTCTTGTGAATGAGGTAAATTAAATTAANGGGAAAGTGGAGAGAGAGTGCATGTGCTGACAAGGAGGACGGATTAATGCAGCGGTACCAAAGGCAAATCAGCTTTTTATTTCTACTTTTTCTTTCTTTCTCGAGATTTATTTACAAAATTAGAGACACATAAATAATTTTTTGATTGATAGATTCTATCATATAGTGGTAGTGGGACTCTGCCTTTCATGCAACTTGCTCTGTGTTGATTGAATTGAATTAGGAGAGAGGCATGAGCCTCGATATCAATCACATCTATCTATCTCGAAGTTTGTTAAAAAAAACTTGTTCCTAATTGTCTCCTTGGCTTAATTAGTAATGCAGGTAAAGTACAGAGAGAGCTACGTTCAGATTTTCTAGCTCTTCTACTTTTGTATTCCAATTCATTTTTATAATTCCATAATTAGTTAGTTTTTTACTGTGCCAAAAGAAAAAAAAAAAAAAGATTTGTGCTAAAGGTTAAAAGAAAAAATGCATCCCATCATTATTTGTTCCATATCAAATTAAACAAGTGATCGAAATTAATTACTATAAACCCTTGATTTTGTTAAATTGGGGTAAAAAAGAAAGGCAAATAAGACACAGAAAACGAGGGCCTGAAAAGTGACGAAAGAAGTGGGAGCTGTCTGTTTGAAGGAATCGGGAACTGTGTACGATCTATCTCCTCCTTTAGGGAATAAAGAGGCTCTCGATGCAGTTAAAGGTTGTACCTTTGCATGCATTTTATGGATATATAGCTTAGCTTCACTCATAAAACGTAATTTTGCTCTTTTTTCTATGGCTACTGTATTCAGACAGAAAGATGCAAGTATTTTTTTTAGTTCAAGAATTGCTACTTATAGATTTTTAACAATGATTTATGATCAATATGATATATGCATTACCATTAGTCCACTATCAATTATTCTTGTACTTATTTCTAGATTGAGAATGCTCTTTCCTTTTTTTATTAAAATTTTTAATTTTTTTTATTAACCAGAATTTGATAGTTTTTTTTTTTCATATAAATATATAGTGTCACCAAGGATAATACTCAAATACTTCAGAATTTCATAGGGTTTTTATATATAAATGTATCGACATTCAAAAGATGGTATTTTCAGTCTCAGTCAAAAAGGTTCTCCATCTTTGATGTTCTTAAAAGACATACAAAGAGCACCAAGTAATTTTGAACGCAAAGTTTTCTACACAAGTCTGGAAAAGCAATGTTTGAATGAAAAGCAAGGTATATATAGACGCGAGTTCTTTATCATACTTACTCGAATTGTAACTCATACTGTTTCGTCCAATGACCATAAACTTTGAGTAATTTTAAATAACTAGTAAAGTGCACGTGCGATGCACGTAGCGACGAATGCTTTTTACCGATTAAATTTAGTAAGATAAATTAATTAATTTATTACACATATGACTGCAGGAACAAAATAAAATGTAGAATAAATTAACTTTTCATGCATTTTATTTTAAATATAAAAATGTTGTCGTAATATAAAAAGATTTAAATATCATATTACAACTCCAACAAAAATATATGAAAAATGAGTTCTTAATGAAAAAACAATAAATGACTAAATAAAGACATAATGTATATTATAGATGCATGAGTTCTTTTATTTATTTATGTTATATTCAAGAGTCATTTTCTTTTATTTTGGTTTTGATGTTCTCATAAGAAACATTCATACTCGTTGAATTCTAATACATCAATAGAATTACAAAATTCTTCTTAATTAATTTTGCAAAACGTCTGTTTTATTCAACACTTAGAAATACTTTAGCCAAATATATAGTCAAACTTTATGATTGTATGATCATTATAAGGTATTTCTACTAATAGTTCATAAGTATCTCTGTGAAATAAACAATTGTATCATTAAATTTCTTGATATTTGTGTCATTAAAATTCTTGATATTTCTTTTAATCAATGTATAAACTACTACATTTCTCTCTCTCTCTCTCTCTCTCTCCCCCTTTCTCTCTCTCTCTCTCCACATAGACAAATTAGTAGTTACCCCATGAGGTGGGAACGAATTTCATCTCTAAATAAAATTTGATTTTCCAAAATCATGTACTTCTATGAAGATGCTAAATTATTTTTTTGAAATCATCACACATTACATGAAAATATGTACTCTAAAACAAATGCGCGTATGATCGAGCACAATACACAATTATGATTGTAAATTCTTATCAAAAAGTGACAACTTATTCAACATTCAAAAATATTTTAATCAGTATTAAACATTCCCGTTTCAGTGTTATTAATTTGGAAGATAGATACCTTCCATATTCTTTTAGATTTGCAATATTTATGTGTCTAATAACATTTATTGCGTTTATTGTCCAATGTTTTGTATCATAACTAATTTTTAAAAAATTCAAGATAAAGATCCTTCATTGGTTCTTCAATAATAACAAAACAAATCAAAACAATGAGACAATATTTAGAATTAGATATTTCAGATGAGAAGAATTTGAATTATACTATATTATCATACTCTTAGTCATTTGTTAACTTTATTATTATGAAGTCATTATTAAAGTTTGTGGTCTATTTTATGATAATATCGAATCATTAATTATGAGAACTAATTTCTTATAGAGACATGGATCTATAATTATTTTATAAGATTCTTTTAGGTCTATTTATTATTTTAAATTGGTATTGGTATATATATATTATTTTACATCGATATAAATAATTATATTATTTTTATTTTATTTACAAAACATTGGTAAAATCAAATATCATGGGAAAGAAATGATATGATATATTACATATAAAAGGGTAACCAAAAAAAAATAAGTATTTCAAAATTAAGAAATTTAATGGTGTAAATTAACTAATTTTTTAACTAAAAAATTATGACTAACATACCGATTTCTAAGACAAAAAAATAAATATATTTTTTATAAATGTGCATCTCAAGTATATTTTACATTTATCATTCGCTAGCTCCAATTGATATATGACATTTATTAATTTTATCATTTTTTTTTATTTTTGAGTGGAATGTCAGTTATAAGCTTTCTCATTGTGTAGTTTTACCTTTTTATTACGTAGAACATCATCTTTACATCTTGTTTAGTATTAATATTACCTTTTCAGTAGAACATCATTCTGGCCTCTTCTTTAATTATTATAATACTAATAAAATATTTAAGGACTTTTCAACTTATATGTATTTTTTAATTACTAATTATCATAAATTAAATGATAATTACATTAAATATGTTATATTTTGTATCATTATTTACAATTTTCAAAACAATTAACTGCACACAATATTATATATAGTGCGAATTTTTTAGTTTGATTTGGAGTCATACTTTTACTACAAGAAAATGATGAAATTCCAATGAAAACATATTACAGCGAAATTTCGAGAACAATTCTAACGAATATTTCAACGTTACAATTTTCGTTTGAATTTTTCAATGAAAATTATAACAAAAATATTTTGTTGCAATCATGTGCAGATCCATGTTTGTCCAATAGTCCCGAAACTGGCATCATCCCAAAACAAATAGCATAAGATATCTAACAAACATTATGGGAATATTTTTCATAATTTTAATCATGTCCTCTATTTAGAAAATAAAATTAAAAGAATAAAGACAAATAATGATTAATTTACAACTCAACCAATTATAATTTAATTCAACTCATAACGTTATTAAAATTATAACATCAATGCGGTATCCCAACTAAAGAAAATATGATATCAAATTTTACAATTTTACGCTCTATTTCTCTCTTTTCTTTTTATTCTTGATGATATCTTATTATCTCTCTTTTGCGACATAATTTTTATCTAATTTTAGAAAATATATTTTAAGTCTTTTTTAAGTGTATGTAGAATTCTAGTTATATATTCGTAATTTATACAATCATCTATTATATTGTCGAGTCAACTATACTACAACATAAAATTTTTGTTCATAAAAAGATTTTGAAAAATGTATTATTTTTTTATGATTTTCTTATGTCGAATTGAGAAAAGCTATTTTTTTTTTTTAATATTATTGAACTTATTGTGATTGTATTGATGTGTTAAAAAAAGTATTACATATGAGAAAGTTGACAAATTAAGAAAAGTATACTTTATAAATTGTAATGACATTATGTTGTTTTGATGCAATACTTTTTGTATACTTTATAAATTGTAATGACAAATAGTTGAGAATATTTAGATCTTTTATAAGTATTTATTATGTTGTTTTTGTTGCATAATTTTTTGTTTAAATAAATTTTATATATTAAAATCATTATATATGATTACGATTTTATCATCAAAATTATATTAAAAATAAGGATGTTATTCAAAAAAAAAAAAATCAATATCATTTCAAAACTTTGTTGTTTGGGTTAATGTTGAGTTGATTTTTTAGAGATATTGAAGAAAACGGCTTGGGAGATATGTGGAAGAAACCAAATTCTTGAAGAATAATGGTGTGAACATTGTGGTTGATTTTTAAGAGATGTGGAATGTTTTGTTCATTTAATTGTATTAAATGAATAAAATATTAAATGAGAATTAGTGTATTACTAATTTGAGGTTAAAAATATGTCAAATAAAGAGAATTTAGGTACATATTAGTTATTAATAAAAAAAATATAAGATGAGATATATATTATGTTATTACTAATTTGCCATTAAAAATATATCAAAATAAGGGTATATTAGTTAGTTCTTTCTTTTACAAAAACACTCGTCCTTTTATAGTAGTATTTTGAGTTACCATTTTAGTTAGCACAACATTTAGACATAGAATATAATAAAATATTTGGATCAAATATTACATAAGATTATTTTGTAGATATTGTTTAC